TTCCAATTGTTTTTGTTTTTCATTTTACAAACAACAACAAAATAGTTTTAAGAAGAAAAATCAATTTGTAATTCAATTATTTCAATGAATAAAAGTATTGGAAAACATATTTGTTTTAATGCATGTATCATAATTTACACATACATATTAAGTTAATTACAAATTTCGATAATAACTACCGGCAAATGAGTTAAATGTAATATAACATTTCACTATATAAGTAGAATAATTTTAGATTCTTTAAACCGATGCATAAAAGAGATTGAAAGTAACACTTGTTTGTTTGTTTTTTGGTGAACAAAAACAAAAAAGAAAGAAAAAAATAGAATTCACAAATTACATGTACAGTTTAAAGCCTGATACTATAAACGTAAGTAGACATTTTGTGTAGTATTTAAATGTTTGGTTTTTTTTCATCACATTTGATCATGTTTGGTCAAAATTGCTATAGAGGTTATTTATCGTTCACAGGGAGCACCGGTTCCCTCAAGATTACAGGTACACCTTGTTGACGAGTGCCAAGTAGCACGAAACCCGGGTCCAGGGTTTCCTGTCGACTACCTCCAACCACCATCTAATCTCACGATAGTGCACGCAGTATCGAGTCACTTAGGCTGGTGGCCACATTGCAATATGGTCGATAGCATTCGATCTGCACTAATAAGGACTAGACACGCAATCAATTGTGATAGTTCACACTAGTAACTCATTTTCACTAAGATTGTACTTAATAATTTTACCAGAAAGTTAAATCAGGAACTTATTCTAACAAAAAGAGATGATTTTCATTTTGTGATCTTTAAATGACTCATTGTATACCTATAGTAATTGTTAACAAAACATTAATATATCTACTCATTGCGTTGACCTGAGTGTGGTAAATAAAAAATGGGTGTGAAACTTAATTCTCATATTATCAATTCAAATGGATGATCATCAACAAGCTTACAATTGTTAAAGTTAGGTGAAGATTCTAAAATGCCTTTCCTATTGTTAATAGTTTTGTCACATAGTTTCCAGTTCATGAATCCATAAATCCATATATCGTAGATTGTAAGTAAAGTATTTATTTAACCAAGAAAATAAATAATTAGAACAGTTTGTTGGAAGTAACTGATCACATGTTGTCCATCCCACTTCTAATAACCAATAAAACACTTATGAAAACGAAGTATTGAAATAATAATTGTTTTATTCAACACTAAATGTATGTAAACAAAGATGAATGGTGGGTAGCAGTGAATTCCAGGATGTGTTCTTCGTCTTATTTGGGATTTGTCAGATGAATGTATTTCATTTCAGATTTAATGTATACTTCTGGATTCAAACCCATTATTGCTCATTTCAAACGTCATCGCGCTATTCACTTAGTTATTCAGTTCAGATAGCCACTAGCTTGTTCAATAACATGAAATTTAGTTCATTTTATATTAGTTATTTGAATCGTTCCACACAGGATGCACATATGCCAATAAAAGACTGATCAATTGCAGTCCTAAACATCAATGGAAAGGTTCAATCAAACAATACAAAATGAAATATAAGTATGATTACAGTAAGTAGTTTCTTAGCATAAAACTATTCGGTATTACTGTAAATTTCATATTAACATACATGTCATCTGTAGCCATTAAAACATATATTAAAATATATTCCAATATTATTTATTAATCATTCATCCTCGGTAGTGTAAACGGTGGATCATTTCCACATTGGACAATGTATTTTCCATGTGATTTCTAACATTTCCTAACCCTAGTTTATCCAGAGAATAAACGAAATGGAAAATATGACAACGGCTATGATGTTTCTTCATGTATTCTTTGGTATTTATGATTTTGATAGATTCTATGCTTTTCAAAAAATGGTATGAACATAAAATTTTATTAAGTTATTCTGAAATAAAAAATATTTATTTCAGTAGTTACATAATTTTAAAATGGAACGGATAGGTCATGGGTTCGAATCCCGCGAGGCAGGGTCGTGGATGCGCACTGCTGAGGAGTCCCACAATAGGACGAAACAGTCGTTCAATGCTTCCAGGTTTTCCATGGTGGTTTAGTTTAAATTGACTCGTGATCTCAACTATTGAAAAACAATTGACTAGAAGATTATCCCTATTGTCTATAGTTTTTTTCAAATACATTTTCGATAATAAAGGATGTTTTGAATGTCATGTCAAATCATTTTAAAAAATTATTTTAGAACTACTGAAAATGAAATAGTGAGTAATATATGTGGAACATTTGACAATAAAGAATTGTATTTAATATTTCTTGGTTCAAACTACATATATTTTCAGTGAATATGTAAATGTGGATAGTGCACTGTGAAGACGAAATTTATTATTAAGGGATTTTGAGCAGAAATTCGAAAGCATTCAACTGAATCTGTCTACATCGTATTTAATTGATACATGTTCACTTATTTCAACAATAAATAACTTATTCATACAAAGAATTTTTTTTAATTTAGGCAGACAAAATAAATAAAAAAATTCCAGTAGAGGGATTTTTGAAGATTGTAGTACTTTAACAGTTGAATTCACCAGTCGTTTTAAGCTAGACCAGCACTGAAAACCTGGAAACACTGGGGAAGCCGTGACCTTTGAAGTCTAATCCGTGTCGCATGTTAGACAATCATTCATCTCAGACAGTGGATGAAGGGTTGCGCAAGATTGCGAATCGATTAAAGTTAAGCATTAACATCTTTGTATGCCGACTTAGTGCACTAGAGTTTAAGCGTTAGCGCACGAGGCCGAAGGTTCTGAGTTCGAGTTCCTTTGGTGAGGGGTCGTAGGTATGCACTACTGAGGAGTCCTATGCTATTATGAAACAACTGTGCAGTGTTTTCAGGTTTCCCATGGTGGTCTAGTTTGAATTCAACTGTGGATGCACATTGCTGAAGAGTCTCACAATAGGACGAAACGGCCGTCCAGTACTTCCAGGTTTTCAATGGTGGCCTAACATCAATCGGTTTATGATCTCAATTAAAAACTTAATAATCTCCACAACCCCTATACTGATGTTGGAATAAAAAAATTTTCATGACTGAAGAATGTCGGTAATAAACCAAGACTTTCGATAATTGTTTTGGTCATTTTTATTTCCTAATCTTAATGTATTGCTTTATTTTAGTATTGGGTTACTCGCTTTACTAGACACAGTCGATAATCTTCAATTAGCAGAACATATGCAACAATTATGTACCTGAAACAAAATGAATGATCAGTGATTTTCTACATAATTTTAATTTATTTAGTTTTAAGTGATGAACTTTAAGTCTCAGCTTAAACCGTCTTCCTGTGATAGATATTCTAAGGCATCTTCTTTAACCATCTAACATGGAAGCTTTTCTTTTCATTGAGTAGCCATTAAAATAAATGATGAATAACTGTATTACTTAAAAAACTAGTTTATCTTTACGTCCCATTGTTAACTGTATATCAAAATATTTTGAGTAATACATTTAATCAGCTTATATCTGCATAGATCAACTACAAATATATTCCTTAAGCTTACACTATTCGTGTTTTACATAAGAACATAAACTTTAATTTTAATTAGACAGGGATTTTCGAAATTTATGTAAACTGTACTGTTTTTAAAAGCTTGCTTACATATAAGATGTAATCCAATGTATTTTGAATGTTCAATGGATTTAACCGACTCTTAAATACATTTTCACAATCATTAATTCCAAAAACTACCTCTCATTCCAACCACATAAACCAACCTAAATAAGATTTCATTTAGAAATTATTCGATTGAGTCTGAACTGAAAACATTGACATAAGATAGTCAAATATTTTAATAAAACTTCTGAGGAGTCCCAAAATAGGACGAAACGGCCGTCCTGTGCTTCTAGGTTTTTCTATGGTGGTCTAGCTTCAACTGACTCATGATCTCAACTATTAAATTACTATAATATCCACAAAACCCCTGCTGATATTATGAATTTAATAGATTTATGAGGAATTAAACTCTAAAATTCGAATTTACGTTTTTAAAAACAAAATGATAGGTTATAAATTCACAAACATAACTATATACACTTTTTATTAATTGTTTAAATCTTCCCATCGATGTTTAGGACTTCAATTGATCGGTATCTTATTAGCATAAGTGCATCCTATATTGCCTTAAGTTATAAGCATTGTAAGCACAGATGGATAGTGGCTAGCACTGGAATTCAGGACGCGCGTTTCATCCTATTTGGGACTCGTCAGCTGGATGTGTCTGCATTCTAGAGTTTGTGTCTACTCCAAGACTCGAACCCATTGTCGTTCATTCCAAACGCCATCACTTTATCCACTTAGTTGCCGAGTCCACCTAGCCATTAGCTTGAGTAATGGGGTGATGTCTAATTAAGTTTTGTATTGGTTGTTTGAATCTTCCCACATTTATGTAAACGGTTTTATAAAATATCCTTTAGCTTTGACAATGATGTTACCTATTAGTAGATAGTTGCAAGCAAAAAAAATCCGGAGTTTATAATAGAGCCTATTAACTACCTTGAAGCTAAGTTGATCCATAGGTTCTGAGATTAGTTTGGTTTATTGTTCCACAAAACGCTATGAATATAATTTGTAAAACTCATATTTTTTCCAAAAACAACGTCTAAATAAGCATCAAAAAACATTAGAATCCATTTATAGACATATTCCTACACCAAGTCTGTCATTGTTCTAACTTATGACATTTTAATATTATTTCGTGTCTAATTAGTATACCGACAAGCTAGCTCATGTTAACTATGAAAGTAAATTTTTGTACCCAACTACTTGTATATGAATAATGAAAATTCCGATATTTTCGACAATTCATTCTTTCTATCTCTGGGCTTATAAATTTCTTATCCCTTTGGTATTAAAAAGAAATTATTATAATAGTAACCAATCAGATTTAACCTGATAAAATTCCCATTCTCTCCCTTTATTCATTTATTACCAATAGACATATTTAGTAGCCCGTTAACTAATCGAATTCTATTGTTGCTTGTTTTAGACAATTTTTCTATTAGGAAAAAATATTTCATAATATAGTCATCCTTTCTAGGGTGAGAGAAGTTTCAGCCGCATCAAGTTAAGATAAGCAAAATAATAAGGTAATATGAAAAGTGTACAAATATCAATTAGTCTATTAGACTATTTTATAACATACTTGATACTATAAAATTGGTTATTTATTTGACGGCAATCTCTATGTAAACAAATTCACTTTGAAGTAAAACAAAACAAAAGTAGTTCCTGTTTCTTTTTTAAGAAGTAAAATTAATATTATGAATTTGACAGCTGATTATCCAATATCTAACTTTAATAATGAAAACTATACAAACTTTTATGGAAGTAATAATTCACATTGGTATTATCCATTTTATGAATATTCATTGAATAATTCATCATCATCATCATCATCATCATTATTATTATCATCATCTAACAATCCATCATCATTAGTATCTTCAACTGGTGTATGTTTACCATTTCATGTTTACATTGATTCATATTATACACAAACGAATACAAATGACTATGATATGAATGGATTACAATATAATCTATATAGTGGTAGTGATTCATCAACACGTTCCCTTGATGATACATCATTGTTATTACATCCATGTCATAGTAATAATGCTAATAATGAATCTATTTCTATAGAATATGGAATTGATTACAATGTATTATTACCAGCTACTATTAGTAATAATCATTTAATACCAACATCTTTATCTTTATCATCCACACCCATATCATTGTCATCATCATCATCATCTTCTTCTTCTGAAGCTAGTGACACTGTAACCACTACAGCAAGTACATCACCGATTATAACTAACACTAAAATCAATGATTCTACACCAACATCATCATCGTCATCGATGTCCACCTGTTGGTCTGATACTTCAACTAATGGAGAATCAATAATTTTGTCAAATAATAATAATAATTTATTTAATGAATTTTCATTAAGTAATAATAATACTGTTAATACAAATATTTATAATATAGAATATAATAAATTAAATATAACAAATATACAAAATAATGATAAATCTTTACCAAATCTCTCTTTTCAGTTTAATAAAAATTATGAACAAAGAAAAACTTTATTAAATCCTATAGATAATTCATTTGAACAATTAAATAATTGCCTATTTGAATATCAACAATATAATTGTTTTACTAAGCAGGAACATAATAATACTAACAATACTAGCACTACTACTACTAATAATAATAATAATAGTGATAATAATAATGATAATAATAATACATATCATCACCAGTCATCATCGTCGTCATCCTCCTCCTCCTCATCATCATCATTATGTTCTGAATTATTAAAATCTCCTTTAACTAATTCAATAATTACATATTCATTCCCTATTAAATGTTCATCTTCAAATGAATTAAATGAACAACAAAATTCTATTTATTGTTTGAATAATACACAAGAAATAACAGATTCATCTATTAAAAAACGGAATCAATTCGATATTATAAATAAAAAGTATCATTATCCTCTACAATGGAATTAACTAATCACACTAATCACTATGATAATAGTAATAATAATAATAGATTAATACAAGAAAATGATTATGTAATCAATAAAAATCATCTCAATAATCAATCGATAGATTATCATTTTAATGAAATGAATATTGTAAAAAAGGAACAATCTTATTATTATAAAACATATTCACCTTCATTGATAACATCAACAAATGATTTAAATTCAAAAACAATATTTCCATCAGAAATAAATACAGTATCATCAAAGTCATTTGGAAAAAGTATGATAGATATATCAAAAATAGATGATAAAATAAAAATGGAGAAATTATGTTTTGATTATACTAAAGATGGTCCATTTTGGACAGATATTCATGAAGAACTAGAACAACAACAACAAAATAATCATCAGTTATCATCAGCTTCATCATCTTGTACTTTAACATCAAGAGAAACGATAGGTAACTTAAATTATTACAATTCTCATAATCAAAATTGTGATACATATATTGAGAAAGAAATCAATAGTCATTTATTACTTAATACACAAGATATTTGCAATAGTAAAAAGATGAATAAATTAGATAATAACATATCATCAATGTCTGAAATTACACGTTCAAGAACAACAACTATGTCAACAACAATGACAACAGTAATAGCGACGACGACAACAATAACAACTACAGGTATGAAGTCTATACAACCGTATAAATGGTTACAGATAAAACGACAACAGCCACGTCAAAATATAACAAATAACAGTAAGTATGCTATTAATGTCATTTTAAGCAAAGTGTACATTCAATATGATAATTAATTTTCTTTAAAAACTTGATTTGATAAAGTATGTTCAGCCGAAAAAATCTAATCTGAATTTTATAACCTTATCACTCATTAATAGTAATATAGAAATTATGTTTCACTTAGAATTGAGATCTGAATTTCGATAGTGTAATAAGAAGACGAAGATTATCAAATCTATGTGACATAGTAGCGCATTACATTTCCAACAATCTAATCACACATATACTTTTTAAGAACATTTATATATAAAAATAAAAGATCAACTAGACTGGAAATGGGGTAAAAGGAAGCAAGGATAATAATAATAATAATAATAATAATAATAATAATAATGTGAACACAATTTGAAATCTCATCACTCTGGATAATAAGTTAATATTACCAGGGTAGGTTTAAGGTGAGAACAAACTGTTTTTGAATACTCAAAGGGGGGTCGAATTTTCGTATGGCTTCAATAAACCTTAGTATACGTCCTTTTACACATTTGTACAACACCACAAAAGCTGAGTTAAAATCAATCAAACTTTTGCCAAAAGCATTATCATGAAAATGTACATGTGAATAAACGCAATCACAAATCATAACAAAACTTGGGCAAGTCTTTATTGGTAGATATGCGTTTCAAACTAAATCATTAAACAGTATTTTTTTTATGACAGTTATTAAATAAATTTAGACTGTAGCTAGAAACAGAATTTATAAGGTATGTTACACCGTATTTGGGACATATCATATGTATGTATCTATGTTCTATTGTCAACAGTATAAAATTTTATAAAGAAACACCAAACCAATTGAACAAGCCAGTGGTTATTTGGACACAGTAGCTTAGGGGACAACAAGTTTATATTTGAAAGGAAAGGTACTGCATTCGAATCTTTAGTGTGAACGTTAAAACTGGAATCTAACTAATGAATCTCGCATTGGATGAAACCAGATTTCTTGATTTTACTGCTAGTCACGATACAAATTACTATTTCAAACATAATAATCCGTCTTATGAATAGATAAATATAGAATTGATAGCTTCCTTAATTTCAAGACTCATACAACTAAGAGTAATCCGTAATATAATTCGAAATCTTAGAAACAAACGAAGATTTTTTGAATAAAACACATAGCAAGTTTTTTAATCTTAAAATGGTCAGTTTGGTAAATATTTAAATTCACCGCTTTTGACAAGTCTTATCTATTCTAAAACCATTAAAAGTATTGTAAGCAAACATGGACGGTGGCGAGTAGTGGAATTCAGGACGCACGTTTCATCCTATTTATGACTCGTCAGCTGGGTGTACTTTCATCGCACAGTCGATGCTCACTCTGTGACTCAAATCCATCATCGTTCACTTCAAACGCCATCACGATATCCACACAGCTACTGAGTCCTGATAGCCACCTGCTTGTGCAATAGGGTGAAGTTTAAATTCACTGATGTTGTTTACTTGTATCTTCATATTTTTAATATTTCCACTGCTAGCTACCATTTATCTTTGCTTATGAAGCTTGTGACTTGAGGTAATACCTAGGCAATCCACACAGGATGCATATATACCAACAAGAGACTGATCAATTACAGTCCTAAACACTAATGGGAAGATACAAGCAAACAACACTAAGTGACATTAAAAGTATTCCTTATAATACTCTGGAAGTGGTAATTCACACAATAATAAGTTGTGTCATCTCTCAAAATCAAGTTTGAGATTATTATTTATGACGAAAAAAATTGTAAATAAACCCATGTGATTTGAATGGTTTGTTTTTATTTTACTCATAAATATTATAAGTAACTCATTGTATTTATACCTTACGAATTTCACTAGGTCATTTCAAATTGTTTATAGTATTTGAGGTAGTCATATATAAACACTTAGTTAGAACGTATAGTTTATTTGTATCAGTCTTACTTGACAGTTTATTTGTAAGCAGTATCAAACTAAAACAAGCCACTAAGAAAATAACAATTTAAATGTAATTACGTAATTAATCATTTTCATAATTTAAAAGTAATTGTGAGACTATGAAACCGATATTGGTTCGACTCAACTTTTATAAATAATATTAAGGTAGATTTCTACGGATCATTTAAAAAGGAGTTAGTTAATACCAACTAGAGAACTACTAAGAACCAACTCTCTCCGATCAGCTACTTCAAGCTGATTTGTAACATCTGATCGTCGCGTAACCAAGATCTATATCCCGCACAGTGAACACAGTACATATAGACCAATAAGTTGATTGACTAATATCCTGAAACATTTTTGTATTATTTCAACTGTCTAACATTGAGAAAGAAATATTATATTAATAAACCTCTAATATCGTAATCGAGTAAATCCGTGAAAATTTCAACCATAGAGTTATTTTACTATTTCAAATTATACAATTAAATTCATGTACATCATTTATTTGATTTCTTTCGTGAGCCTAATGCGGTGAATTTAATAAGATAAAACTCATAAACCAAGTACATGTTCGCTTGACCAACATTTAAGCCATTACTTTCTATCATGTTTGAAGATGAACGCTGAACTAATAACCAACTGATGTCACAAGCAGCAAAGTCCGAACCTTTATTCTAGTGACTAGCAGATCAATACTTTCATCAGTAATCCAATAGTGTAGACAGAACAATAATCATTATATATATAGATTATAGGTTATTTTATTTGTACAGACTGTGATTATTTTCAAGGATACTCATTAATAATATTTTCCAAGGAGCAAGTAGTACAATTTAGATGTAGACAGTTTACTGGAATCCTGATGCATTAATTCTGTTTACATTTACAATTATCTAATTAGAAGAAATAAAAATCAGTAGTTAGACGATATTTCATTGAAGCATATAACTTAGTAGCCTGGATCAATAGATTGATGGTCATGTAAATTATACTAGTGATTTAATGATCTAACCGCCCTGCAAACCTCTATGACCAGTGTTTTGAGTCTGAGTTTCAGTAATAGGTAACGTAAAATCGACTCACAAACAAGAAGAATCTTATTGATAATAGCGAGCAATAGTAAGGTTAAGAGTTTGAGAGCGAAACTGAAGATCCCGGATACGACGCTCGCGTTCAGGACCATGGGTGAACACTGCTGTGGAGCCCGATACTAGGGTGAGACGACCGTACAGTGCTTCCAGGTGTTCAATGGTTTTCTGATGTAGATCGGCTCATTATTTTATAAAATGTTTTAGTGGAACTAGAGTAATGGTATTTCCAATGTATTTACAGTGTTTCGTGGTAATGGTTTTAAAAAAATTATATTATTAATCCCTCTGATAAATTTAGCTAGTCTGTAATGACAGGACTATGGTTATCCAAACTATGTTATACATTTTATTCTGATAAGTTTATTTGAATTTGATCAGGGATTAATGTGTTATGATGTCCATATAAGAAATAAGTGGATCAAACCAGGCTAATTTGAATATAAAAATAATAACAAACAATGTGAATTTCACTACTCCGATTAGTAAGATTAAATCGATATTGTCAAAAGAGATTTAATGTTATTACAAAACTGTGTTTACACTTTTTCTTATCTAAAGCTATAACGTCATAATCCTAACTAAAAATCCGTCTTCTTAATTCAATGTTTCTTATCGGTTATAGATGATAACATTGTTCACCTAAGACTTTGCTCAAATAAAACGATGTTTCTGTAATATATAAACATTTTCTCCCACAATAGATCATTTTGAAATATTCACAGTATGATGGTCATTCATAACTGGTTGCAATACATACAGAATTATGTAATAACTGAAGAAGTGGCTTACATTAAGTCACTAAACATCAGAAATACAATTTTTCTACTCATCGTGATATAACAAATTTATATTTATGATTAACTTTTTATCTAATGCTCAATTTATTTGAAACTATCAAGTCTAACTTTGGTATTGATACCTGTGATATACATTTGTTTTGATTCAGCGAAAACCATTATTCATATTCTTAACTATGGACAGGCAAACAGGTTTAATTTTCAAAAAGAAGCAAAATTAATGATTTAAGCAGAAAAGCATGAATTCATCATATTTCGCTGGATTCTGGTCAGCTGCTTACAACCTGTGATATTTCAAATTCATACTTACGAAATAAGCTTAAATTACTTACATGAAAGAGTTTAGTTGGAAGTTATTTTGAAAACACATCAGTATTGTGTAGACAACGGTGTAAATAAATCTAATAGACTGAGTAAAATATTGTAAATATATACACTTTATGTAAAAGAACATTCTACAATGTTAATTATAGCAACAGTCTAAAGGATTAGAAACAAGTGGTTATGTAAACGCTGATAATAAGAATGAGTAAAACTCAATTAACAAAATAAGATAATTAATCTACAAGAAAGTTGTAATAAAAAGACATAATGGTGTGATTTAGTGAAATCAAGAGTTGAAAACAATTTCTTAAGATGCAATTAAGTGATATTTGTCACCAAGGCAAAGAAAGATTGACAACCATTCCCTTTTGAACAAATATATGAGGTTTTTGACGCCTGATAGCAATGACTTCAGTAAACTTCAGAGAAGTGGAACTTGGCTGCTTATCAATCATCTTGAAAGGTTGAAAGGTATCGACCTGATGTCTTGTATTCAAGAGATGTTTAACAATTGTACTGTTCGAAGTTGTTCTTTCTCTTTTAATAAGGTTTTTTGAAACGTTCAAAAGTTCAAAATTTCGACTGCTCTTTTTTTAACTAAACTCTGGTAATTCATTCGTGTCGACTAATTCTAATTATGAATAATTAAGAAATAAATTATCAGCCTGGGTGTTTTGCGATCCATTCAACATTACCCTATATTGATTTAGGGCAGCAAATGATTTGATCATTAGTTTTATAGATTCCAGATGAGTAACACTCTTACTTTATGTCATTTTATCTATATAAATGTCGAAGATACTTTTCTTTATTTCGTACATAAGAGTCAATAAAGTTACAAATCAGTTGTCAATTCTGTTTCATACTATTCTGATAACTAGATTTACGACCCATTCA